GGTACTAGTGACGACCGTGGGAAGGCGCCGACTTGATCAATACAAACGCATGGGATTTATGATTTTGAGATCTTGGATTTTTGTATTACTTGGATTGAATGTTCAAATATGGTTGTTTTATGAATATTAAGTGAATTATGTTTTATAAAATTTGAAAAATTTGTTTTGAAAATTTCGGTGTTATATATATATATATATATATATATATATATATATATATATATATATATATATATATATATATATATATATATATATATATTGAAAAAAATTGGAGTCTATTTAAATGATGTTAGTTAAAAAAATAATAACAAAACAAAGTTAAACAATCGAACGACTGAACAACCGAACCATTTTGAAAAACCGATGGGTTGGTGTTGGAAAAAAACAATAATAAAATCTAATGTTTGTGAAAATTGTAAAGTAAAAAATAAACTTAAAGATGTCCCGTTTAAACAATATGTTGCTATGATTTTTATTAACAAATCTACAATAATTAATTAGTATACATTAAAAGAGGGTACAAGTTAGAAAATTTCATAAGTAAACCGAAACATTACAAATGGTAATTGGAAATAAAAAATCAAAATTTTAAATGAAATGAATCTTTGGATTGTTTGTCAAAAAAAAATCAAATAGAGTCAATAGATTTTTTATAATTTGGATGATTTGTGAATAACAAAGAAAAATAAAGAGGCCATTTTTGTAATTTTAATTCAAATTCAATAAAGTGGCAATATGATTCAAATATAAGACATCTTAGTAATAGTCGTTTACTTAAAGAAAGCACATGAAAGCAAACGCTAATAGCCGGAATCGAACATGCGTCTATAGAAAAAGAGAGGCGGCTACTTATAAGATCTCTAACCAACTCAGCTACTACATCTTTTATACTTTTTTAACAAAATATATATAAACAGAATTAATTTTGGGGCCCCAAATCATAGTATGGTCCGGGGCAGTCGCCCAGGTTTCCCACCCTATTGTGTCGGGCTGTTAAAACGGATATCCTTGTGGATTGAATTTATTTGTTGAAGAAAAAAATGTTACCCATGTTTTAGGAATGGACAACAACAATCTTCGTTCAATTTAATCATGTCTTTAAACTCTAGAGTGTGGACTATAAGGGGCTTGCATCAATAGAAGAAACATAAAGAGATTTTGAATTTCATTAATAGCAATCACCTTTCTATTTCTTATATTCTTGAAAAGTCATGTCAAGTTTGATAATTTTGAAACTCTATGTAATAAAGTGTTTAGTAGATGGAGATATTATTAAACAAGATTTTTGTTTAGCTGTGAAAGAGTTCTTTGTAAGGGGAACTATTCTGAAAGAATTTAATGCTATACCAAAGGCTTGTAGCCCAGCGGTATCAGGTGGTATCCTCCCTCTTTGAGGTCGAGGGTTCAAGTCTCATCGTGGACATATGTGGAATAAGTGTTGTTAGCTTATTGTAGATTAGATTTGCCGGTTCAAAAAAAAAAAGAATTTAATGCTACAGTTTTGGCCTATGTTCCTAAGCAATGGTCCTCCTAGTTTCACCTTGAAAGTGAATATTATGAAGGCGTATGGAACTGTCAATTGGGATTTCTTAAAATATATTTTAGGTTATGTTGGATGTCACCCAGTTATGATCCATTGGATAATGTTATGTGTTTACACTTCTTCCTATACTATTAGCATTATTAGTGGGCATCATGATTTTTTTCAAGGGAAAAGAGGGTTAAGGTAGGGTTATCCTCTCTCCCCTTATTTGTTTATTATGGTTATAAAGGTGTTTAATCTTTTACTTGAAAGAAGGAAAAATGGAAATAGTATATTCAAATATCATTGGAGATGCTCGAAATTAAAGGTTACTCATATGTGCTTTGTAGACGACCTTCTTATTTTCTCTTATGTTAATTGATCTAATATTTTCTCTATAAGAGAAGCTTTTCAAGAATTTAGTGAGGTGTCTGGTTTACAACCTAATTTGAATAAAGCAATATATTCTTTGGGAATGTGAGAAATCAGAACAAATAAAGAATTTTGACTGTTTTACTCTTTCAAGAAGGTATATTGCCTATGAGGTATCTTGGAGTTCCTTTGATTGTATCTAGACTTTAAATAAAATATTGTAACGTTCTTGTTGAAAAAGTAAGAAAAGGGGTGATGGATTGGAAGAATAAGTCCCTATGATATGCTGGGAAGCTGCAACTGATTCGTTATGTTTTCTCTTCAATGCATGTTTATTGGGATTCTTCATTTCTCATTCCTAAAGGACTTACTTTGGAGATTGAATAAACTATAATTAAGAAGATTTATATGGGGCATTGCCACATTGGTGATATGTAAAGAGGTAAAGCTAAAGTTCATTAGCATGTAATCTGTAAACCAAAAGAACGTGGAGGGTTTGGTATAAAAACTTTGGAAAGATGGAATATATCCCTCATTTCTAAACACATTTAAAAATTCTAATTAATAGGAAATCTCCTTGGACTCAATGGGTCAAAACGAATCATTTAGGTAAGAGAAGTTTTTGGGATACCAACGTTAAAGTGAATTCTTGTTGGAGTTGGAGGAATATTCTAAAAATAAGACATTTTTTTGAGGAATTCTTTTATTTCTGTGATTGGCAACCGAGAAAGTACTTATGCTTGGTTTCATAATTGCCTTTATGTTGGGCCTCTTTCTATTTGGTTAAGCAGAAGAAAACATTTGAGGGAAGGATTTAGCAAGGAAGCTTCTGTTAAAGTTGTTATTGAAAATTGTAATTGGAAATGGCCTCTAGAGTGGACTTATAAATTTATGCAGATTGTTGATATTTGTGTCCCGGTTTTAGCTTATGAGCTACATGATAGATTTATGTAGAAAAACTCCGAGGGACCTTTGATTCTTTTTGCTATTAAAGAAGTATGGAAATAGATGAGGAGATGGGATCTTTTTTTACATTAGCCAGATTGTTTTGTTTAGTTTGAATAACCCTAGTCAATTTCATTCAGTGGGGAAACTTAAGACTCAAGACAAATTCAAGAGTTGGGAGTTCAGAAATGACATGTTGTGTGTTTTATTCACTCTTAACTTGATTCTTCTGGGCATCTTTTTTTTGTTTGAATCTGTTTTTTCAAATTAGTGTGGAAATCTGTGACTAAATCTATTGGGCATGAAGATCTTCAATCTAGCTTGTACCCTCTTACTGAAAGCCTGCAGATTCATCTAAAGGTTAATAAGTTGGAAAATACCATCTGAAAGTTAATCTTAGCTACTTTAGTTTATCATCTATGGTGGGAAAGAAACAATATAGTATTTAGATAGAACTTTTGTTGGGTTAGGGATGTAGCTAGATTAATTCTGGAAGATGTTAGATATAAGATTTTGGGTCTTAAACCTACTCATCTTGGTTTGAATTAGAAGATAAGAGAAATATATATGTTGTTGAGGGATAAAACTCTTTGACTGTTTCCATGGATTGGATTTTCAAAATGGTTTGGTTGATCCAAATTACAAGCTATTGGAGTCGTTTGTTGGATGATAAAATAAAAGATTGCTGTAAAACGCTTTCCAGGTTTGAGGCTATTATCCATAAGATTGATGGAAGAACTGATGTTTTTCGCCAGAAGGAGGTCCACATGAAGAATATAGAGATATGGATTTGGCTGGTCAATTTAATGTGGATGTTATGGATGGATTTGAAGATGAAGATTCGAAAAACTTCAAGTATGAATTTACATCATTTTTTTTAATCTATTGATTCTTTTCTATTACATTGTTGATGAAGATAAAATTATTTGTATTCCATTTTCTTTGACAAATGAATTCATCTTTTATGCCATACTATACACAAGACAAGGTATATGATGATGCTATACGCATATCATAAGATGTCAATAGGTTAAATGGAAAGTCATTGCATGACTATAAATGACATTCATAAAGCACTTATAGAGAAATAAAGAATGGTCCTAAGTTAATCGGTTTATAAGATCTTCATTTAAATTGTTACATAAATTGCTAACTTCAAAACAAATAGAGATAATTATGAATTATAATTAGTTTAGACTTTATTATTAGGGAAAATTTCACATATGTCCTCGCAAACATTAAGAATTACGTCTATATCCTTTCAAAGTTCATAATTACGTATATATATCCTTCTTAACCTATTAAAATCACATTTATATCCAATCTTATAATTTAATGGGGTATTAATCAATTTAATACCAAAAAATATATTCAAAATAATAATAAAAGGTGATTGTACTAAATTACCCTTTCAAAATTATTAATAAATAGAACTAAATACACTTAATTAGCATTAAACCTAATTAAATATGTCAAAACCTCAAAGACGTCAAAACTAAACCTCAAAAACGTGAAATCTTCAAGGCTTTCATCACATTGTTTTCTTCTTCAAGCTGTGAGAACTTTTTCCTTCGTTTATTTAAATATCATTGTTACAAACATAGTAATAAATCACGTTATTTCATCGCAACAGGTTAATCTTATTCTTCATTCTATTAATTTTGGTTTTTGATTAACTTTTTGCATTCGATTAATTGTTGGCTCTGCATTCAATTATGTCTGGTTTGTAATAGATAGTTTATTATCCTCCTCTTTGATGGATAATGAGGTTGATGCACCGAGATGGGACATAAGTGCTCACTTGGCCATAATTGAGTAAGTTTTTTTATCAACAATGAATGATACTTTCTGTTTCCCTTTAATTTTATTAACTATTTTTTTTATTGTGGTCATCAGACAAGTGATATCGGAATTCAAGTTTAAATTGAAATACGGAGGCTTCTTTTCGATTAGCAAGGAACTCATGTAGGCAAGTGTATTGCTTTGGATCTATAAAATGTCTCTATATATAAACACATTTTCATATGACTTAAATCATCTAGTTGAAGAGGTGAAAAAACACTATCCATCACAAAGTGATATTGTTTTGTCAATAGTATTTGTTGACAAATATGCAAAAGAGCAATGCTATATTAAACTTGAGAATGATAAGAGCTTCATGGTGATGCTAAACATGTATGATAAGGAGAAAAAAGTAACAATTTATGCAACAACCGAAAAATTAAGTTATAACCCTAAATCGTTAAGTTGTCAAGATAAAGTTATTGATGAATCTGATGATGAAAATGAGACAGACTCAGTTTATCCAAGTCAAGAAAGCTATCATAGTCTTCGTAGTTTTGATAACGAATATGAACTTCTAAGTTATGGGGAAACTTATGCATATAGTAAGATGAATCCATTTATGAAAGTGAATTCTAAATTCCCAAGTGTAATTGCTTTTATGGAGATAAAAAGTGCAAGTGGAGAATTCATGCTTTTCTTACACAAGATGGGGTTACTTTTGAAGTAAGTATAAAATTTGAGCAATACTACCAATACTAGAAAAACAGCCTTTGACGACGCTCATTGCGCATCGTAAAAGGCTTAGATGACACGCAAATGCGTGTCAAGGAAGACCCTGTCATAAAGAACGACGAAGATCTTTTGCGCGTCGTCTATAGACGACGCGCATTTACGACGCTCATTTACGACGCGCAATTACGACACGCAATGCGTATCAAGGAAGCCCCGGTCATAAAGGAAGATGACACGCATTCGCTTGTCGTAACCTTATGACGCGTGTGGTAATGACACGCAATGCATATCAAGAAAGCCCCTGTCAAGAAAGGCCATATCATAAATGAAGATGTCACACATTTTTGCGTATCATAATTTTAAATGTTTAAAAAACATATTATTTATAGATTTACTTATTTTCAAATTAAATTTGTATTTAATGTTTCATAATAGAAATTAAAATATAATATACAAAAAATAGAACCCATTGCATAAATTTAATGTCATACAAATAATCATTAACAAAAATTCATTTCAAAAAAACCGCATGCATGTCAAACAAGTTACCTAACATTACATGTCAAACAACACTACATGTTAACACTAATAACACTTAAAAACATGATTTTTCTTACATTTGGAGCACCAACTATTCCTATATCAACAATCAACTTTAGGTCCAATTCCAACCACCTGTAAAAGAACAATATCGTAAAAGAACAGCATTAGAAAAGTTAATTAATATATACCAGTACAACATGTATAAGTTCCTTAGTTTATCTACTTTATATGTAATTTCTCATTAATAACAAGTCTGATTGTTGAGTTATTCCCATGCTGCCCTTCGTTGAAGTTTTACATTTGATCCATGTAAGTCTAATTGATGGCGGGTCTTAGGAATGAACCAAAAACAAACCTAAGAACCGAAACAATTGATTAAGGACTAGATTCCCTTACTAAACCTGTTTGTTGTAATAGAATAATTCTAGAAGCCAGCATAAGAAAACATCCAAAGCAAAAAAGGATCCGTTGTTGAAAGCGACTTCAACTTCCTATCAAAAAAAATAAAAGGTTGGTTGTTTTCTAGATTATCAAACTATTTAGTGTTTATTTTAGCATGCATGCAATGAATAAAATTGAAAACCAAACCAAACCTAAAAGAGCCCAAGTCGAAAAATGCATGACATCAACATGTAAGGACTGCTTACTATTTCCGTTCAGATACCTTCAACAAATTCAACCAATATTATCAAATTGTTCATTATTCTCTACTTTTGTTGAACCAATGTTATCAAGATTCAAATCTATAGGGCACCCATGTCTTAGGCACGCGAAACGATCTATCAAACATGTATAGGTGGTTGCTGACATGTGCAAGTCATAAAAACATAGATAACATTCTTTTTCATTAGTTGTTTCAAAATCATCTTCCATTTTTTGAAACTTAAACTGGTTTGAAGGTGTTGGATCCTTTTTAGCTCCATTTCAACTCTCATTTGAAATTATTAAAAGAACATTAGAAAACAACAAATAAATAAATAAATAAATAAAGTTTTTTTTACCTTGATAACATTAGTGAGTATCCGATTCTTCCCACAAACATGTTTCCAATATAAATTCTTGGAAGTTTCTTTATTCAAAAATCAAGCTCCCTATAAAGCCCAAATCCCTTCTCTAGCTAATAACAACTTATGAGATATTGATGTTTTTCGTCTTTGCTGACTGTACACCTCGACTGCACCTTGTCCATGTTCCAGCCAATCAACACGCCACATTGACAGCCTCCACACAGTTAAAACCACAACTGAATCCCGCATGATATGCCCTTGGAAAAGTAACAATAAACTCTCCACAACACTGAGAAGCTCGATAAACCGGGACCCCTTCAGACTTCAAAATTTTAGGGCTCAATTGACTAACCTTTTAAGATTAAATCATTTATTCATTATCCAACACTATATCCAGACACTACTTATTGCGAAAAAAAATCTTACGAGTTGATGGAGTAGATCTGTTTGTTCCTTCAAAAAACACATAAATGCTTCCTCATTGCATCTTCCAAGGCATTCAGATGGCTTCCGGGAGTACTCCATGCCACATATTCGGGTCGCGCCAATGCATATAGTTTACCGAATAAAGGTGGTGATCTTCAACATGCGTTTCCAAAAACAAATAAACATATAAATACACATAAACAAAAAAGAAAAAAGAAAAAAAAAGTATAGCTGAAGTTATTGGTGGCCTACAACTTAAACATATAAGGGACTCAAAATTCTTACTTTCTATCTATGTAGGAGTAAAATTAAATTTTTTTGTCCCTGTGTATAGCTGAGTTTTGTAATTTTTGTCCCAAAAAGTTTTTTCTTGACTTTTGGTCCTTATTTAAGGTTCGTGTAATGACTTTGGTCCCTATTCCAAGTAAAATGATTATTTTTGGTCCCTAAGATAGTAGATTGTTTCAGTTTTGGTCCAAAAAACAGTCATTCTACTTGAACAGGGATGAAAAACATTACAAAAACCTAAATAAGGAGCAGAATTACAAGAGAAAACTTTTTGGGACCAAAATTGATAAAATCAACAATAATCAGGGACCAATAATGTAATTTACTTAAAAATGTAAATTAAAACTTTAGAGAGCTTATGATAATAACAGATTTCAAAGTTCAAATACACATCAATATTCATTCTATGATTGGCAGAGAGTATAATTTCTTGTAAACTAATACATTTGATTGTGCCATATACCTTCAGTAAATTGCAAAGATGTTCACAGACCGTTGTTGGTCCTCCATTACATAACAGTTGGATAGAGATTGATAAAACACTGATAGCTGGAATACGTCCTGTAGTTTTCTCCTCAACCCACTGGTATCCAAATACAATTAAAAATGTAAAATAGTTTACTTAAGACTTTAATAGTATTTAACATCTAATGAGGATAATGGAAAAGGATAAGCCTGTGTAGTACTAGACATTTACAGTGTCAGGTTGAAAGATTTACATACTGATTTATATTTTGTTGTCAAACAAAAGAGGTTTTGAAGTATAGTTGGAGATGCAATTATCTTCTACAACCGACAAAAGAAAGCCTTTATAATTCATGGGGTGAGGGTTGATGAGTATCAATCAGCTAAAGGAGCACCAACTGACCCATCAATTAGAAATTTAGATGCTCTTGATCTTGCGGTAACATATGAATCATTTTTAGCATTTGAACCATGTTGTTGGTTTCCGATAGAGCAAGGGAATTGGTGTGCGCTTGTTGAAATCAAAATACAGGAGGATTTGAACAACATTGGGAAGGGCATGCAGGAAGCATAGACAGTGGTGGAGAACCACGATATCTCAAAGAGACACCACCAGGGTGATGTTGAACAATACGTTTGGAATTCTCAAGCAGGTGGGTCCTTCACGAGTACCCATGGCATTGATGAAACCCGTGGAAGAAACACAAAAATCACCCCCTTCCTAAAGGGATACCAACTTGAGTATCTTGAGGAGCACAGTTTTGAGGAATTAAGTAAGAAGCGATCTGATTTCATGAGTTACACAATATCCATATGGATTGAGAAGATGATCAAGGAAGAGATCTCTAACAGGGAGGATAGGATGGCTCATTATTTCCTACATGTTGTCTCTCTATTGTTCTCTTCATTAGAACTTCATACGAAGTCTGCTACTGATATTAGAATTGGGGTGTTAGAGGAAAAGACTGTAGCAATGCAAGCTTGTGGGTTATTTGTTCTGAATACAAAGAGTGTTTATGTCCCACATTTGGAAGCGTCTTGTGGATATCTGATATGGTCTACTGGTTATTTCCATGAAGATACATTAAGGGTTGTTGATACAGCTTATAAAATGAGTGTGTGGGCTGCAAAGCAAAGAGATGTGTGGGTTAATGAACATAGCGATACAAAGAACACGATTAAAAGAATCAAAGATGGGTTAAAGGTGAAAGAGACGGATGATGGACAGCAGCAGCAGGAGAAGTTTGAGGGATTTGTTGTCTCTTTTCTCGAACCACTGATCTTATACTTACACAGTTGCTTGCATTACAATCTTACTACAAAAAACAATTTCAAGATCAAGACTAAGACAGATAATTGGAAAATTCCCAAAACATTAGTAAGTGTCACCAAACCAAACCTAAATGACAAACACAAGTAATAATGGATGAGAAGTAAATATGAGTAAAAAAATACATGCATTTCGTCATCATAGCAACTATATTAAAAAGCTCAGATGATCTTAAGATTCAAAGTAGAAAGCTTAATAATGGAAGAGCAGTCACAAAAGAGCTAAGCCGCCATAAATAAAGACTGTATAGAAACACACAAACATTTGAAAAAAAACCCATAGAATCGAAGAAAGAAATTCCTGATCACATTACTCAAACCAGAACATGATTTTCATATAAGCATTTAACTTGAAACTAGTAAAAACTACAAGCGACACTGATATATGAGCAACACAAAACAAATAAGTTAGTGTAGATAACTTAAAAATAACTTAAAACGATAGAAAAAGAAAACCCCCCAAAAAATCACTGTGATTCTTCTTTGTTTGAAATGATTGGCAAAGAAACTCAACTCAAACAACAAACTTAAAAAGAACAAAGAGTAGGATCAATCGACTATTAAAAATAGTTACAAATAAAAAGACCAGAAGATTATTTCTGTATAAAATGAAGAAGCCAATAACCAACAAGCAAAATGACCTTAATTTTGAAGTAGGATGGATATAAGGAACCTCTGCCATTCAAAAATTAAATCCCTTCAAAAGAAAAAAATGAAAAACATAGACATGGGCTGGAGATACATTTCTTGGGCTTTCTTCCTAATGAACAAATCCAAAGGTTATCAAGCAAATAAAGATATATTAATATTATCATAGTTTGATTATCTGATACCAATTGATAGGCACTGATACATTCTTGAACAGATAATCAAACTATGATAATATTAAGATAATTATACCATTCATTCGAGAGGAATGGAGCTCTCCAAGAAAGAACAAAGTTCTATTCAAATCAATTCTTAGCTACCGACTCTCTAAAACAAAGGACTATATATACTACCACTAGAGACAAGACACAAAGGAATAACAACAAACATAATCAGGTGTTGTTCCCACTAACCAAAACAGCCAATAACAATCATAATTGGCTGTATACTTACTAACAAGAAACTAAATAAATAAAAGACTTAAATACCCCTTGGACCATTCCATTCAAGCACAACCCAGAAAAAGTTCAACCAATTGCCCTTTTTAACCTCTTGCTATGAATCAGTAAAGTTAGGAGCCTATCAACTCCTAAAACAACTCAAAAACGTTTAAAAAACCAAATTTTCCAAAAATACCCCTGGGACTCTTTTTGTCCCAGAATCTGAATTAAGCCAACACATACCAAGCAGAATAAGCACTGCAGCACCAACGCATGCAACCTAAATCCCAGTTTATGGAAAGTGTTGGTCAGCACAATAAATACTTCTTGCACAATCAGCACAAAATAAGACCGGTAGAATTGACTACAAAACTCCGAGTTCTGCAATCAAAATCAAATCAAAAATATGAAATAAAACAAATTAAAAGAGCCTGGTTTTAATAATGAATTGTAGTAGTAGTACATAGTGTTGGAACTTTGACTACAAAATTACAATGTGGGACTTATCCCACATTGGCGGAAGAGAAAACCTTCTCCCACCTTATATGTCTAGTCCCACTCATTTAATTAAATGGGTCAAGTAATGGGTTAAGCATATTGGGCTTGGGTTGTGGTGTTGGATTAGCCTAATTGGACTCAAAATGGGCTAATATCAAGAGAATATTTAATGGTCAAAAGATGGGCCTTGGGCCTTGGGGTCTTCCTGATTAATTAAATAATTTTTAATTACAAAATTAATTTTTATTCTTTATTTTTATTAAATTCGTAATTACTGAATGACAGGTTTTGACAGTTATTTTCGGTTTTGAAGTTTCCAACTGTCATAACTAATACCTATAAATACCTGTTTCATTCATCTGTGAGGGGTTGCAGAAATCATTTTTCCACACCACAAAATTCTCTTTAAAATTCGTTCTTCCAAAAGATGAAGGGAACATAGGAATTTCATCAAAATCAAGAGAAGTTCTTGATTGATTGTTGTATCCTCTAGACAGATCTCCACCAGGGAAATTTCAGTCTTAGGACACTACAATTTGCAGGCCTCAATCTACATAATTTCATTTTTGTGTTTATGTTGTAACCATAAACCATCAAGTATGTTTTCTGTAAACTGATTCTTGTATATTTCATATATATTTCAATTTCGTTTGTTTTATTTCTGTTAATATTGTTGATTGTATACTTTTGTCATAACAATCTAAGACAGAAAACAAAAAGTGGAAGAATGTATCAACAATCCATCATCAAAACACATGTGGAAAAGCCTGAGAAATTCAAAGGCTCGGATTTTCAGAGATGGCAACAGAAGATGTTGTTTTATCTAACAACTCTTCATGTTTCCAATGTTCTCACTGATGATTCTCCCTCTCCTCCTACTGGTACAACCACTGCAGAAGGAACAACACCACCCACTGAAGCCCAAATGGTAGAACATCAAAGGGCTGTGGAAACTTGGAACACAAATGAATATAATTGCAGAAATTATATTTTGAATGCCCTGGATGATTCTCTCTATGATATCTACTCTACCATGACTACTGCAAGAGAGATATGGGAATCACTGGAAAAGAAATACAAAACAGAAGTGGCATGTTCCAAGAAATTCGTGATTAGAAAGTTCATGAATATCAAGATGTTGGATACCAAATCTGTCCTCAAAGAAGTGGAGGAAATTCAAGTCATTGCACATGATCTTGAAGTTGAAGGTAAGGGTTATAAACTCTAACTTTCTTGTTGGTTCAATCATTGAAAAACTTCCTCATTCTTGGAAGAATTTCAAATTATATCTTAAGCACTTAACTGATGACATGAGTTTTGAGCAACTTGTGTTGAGAATTCATGTGGAAGAAGATAATAGATTGAATGAGAAGGCAGATGCAAATTCCTTGGAACCAAGTGCAAACTTTGTTGGAGAAGAAAGTACTTCAAGGACAAAGCACAACAACAAGAAAGGGAAGCAAGGCTCCAAAAACTCTTCCAAAGATGGCAAAAATCATGTCCCTATCAAGAAGAATTTCAAGAAGAATTCTGGTCCATCCTATGTTTGTGGCAAAATTGGACACAAGGCCAAAGATTGCAGATTCAGGAGGGGTCAAGGCGAAAATAATGGAGGAAACAATGGAGGGAAAAATGGAGGGAACAATGGAAACAATGGTGGCAATTCTGGTGGAGGAAATTCTGGTCAAGCCAACATGGTTGAATCACCAAATCAATTTGTTGTTGTGATTCAAACCAACATGGTTAGTAATTGTGTGGATTGGTGGATTGATACTGGACCCACAAGGCACATTTGCAACTCCCGAACGATGTTTTCTACATACCAGAAAGTCTCGGATTCTGAACCAATGTTTATGAGGAATGGCTCTACTGCAAAAGTTGAAGGAAAGGGAAAAGTGAAACTAAAACTGACTTCTGAAAAAGAACTTGTTTTATGTGATGTCTTGCATGTTCCTGAAATTACTAAGAATTTGATTTCTGGTCCTATTCTTAGTAACAAAGGTTTCAAACTTGTATTTGAATCTGATAAATTTGTTCTCACCAAGGGTGGGATGTATGTTGGAAAGGGATACCTTAGTGAGGGTCTCTTCAAAGTCAGTGTATTACCTTTGTACTATGGTGTTGAAACACCAAACAATGATGTAACCAATATTAATGCTAATGCAATAATGGGCACTACTAGCCCCTCTTCTATGTATATGCATGATCCTTCAATATTGTGGCATTCTCGTTTGGGACATGTTAATTTTCATTCTATTCAAAGAATGGAAAAACTTGGCATGTTACCAAAATGTTCATTAGATAAAAACATAAAATGTGAGGTTTGTGTAGAATCAAAATTTTCACAACATCCTCATAAATCAGTTGAAAAATCTAATGAAATACTTGGCTTAATCCACTCAGATTTATGTGATTTTAGAGCAACACCTACAAGAGGAGGAAAGAATTATTATATATCCTTTATTGATGATTGTAGTAAGTATTGTTATAGCTATTTGTTAAATACCAAAGATGAAGCCTTGAATTATTTTAAGAATTACAAGGCTGAAGTTGAAAATCAACTTGACAAAAAGATCAAAATTCTAAGGTCTGATCGAGGAGGAGAATATAAATCCAAAGACTTTGCTGAATTTTGTTCTTTCAATGGTATTATACATCAAACAACTGCTCCATATACTCCTCAACAAAATGGAGTGGCAGAAAGAAATAATAGAACATTGAAAAACATGATTAATTCAATGTTAATTACTTCTGGAGCACCACATAATCTGTGGGGAGAAGCATGTCTTGCAACAAATACAATACTTAATAGAATTCCTCATAAAAAGAGTGATAAATCATCCTATCATCTGTGGAAAGGGAGGTTACCCTTTTATAAAAGGATGAAAGTGTGGGGTTGCCTTGCTAAGGAACAAGTATCTCTTCCTAAGAGGACTAAACTTGGACCAAAAACCATAGATTGCATCTATCTTGGCCCTACCATGAATAGTGCAGCATACAGGTTTCTTGTGTATAAATAACATGTTGATGAGATCAATAACCAAACCATCATGGAATTAGCAGAGGCTGAATTCTTTGAAAATATTTTTCCTTTTGAAGGATAAAGGGAAAGAGGTTACCTGCTCTAGGAAAAGACCACTAGATGATGGACTGAATGATACAATTCTAGACAAAAGTTTACAATCAAATGAAGAGAATTCTTCAAAGGTTCAAGAAGAAAACTTAGAACCTAGAAGAAGCAAACGGGGCAAAATAGCCAAAGATTTTGGACCTGATTACATGACCTATGTAGTAAATAAGGAACCACAAACATATAAGGAACCTATGGACTCCTCTGAAGCTCCTTACTAGAAAGAGGCAATCAAAAGTGATATTGACTCCATTGTGCAAAATAACACTTGGAAATTGGTAGATTTTCCACCTGGGCAAAAACCAATTGGGCACAAATGGATATTCAAGAAGAAGTTTAGACCTGATGGTACCATTGAGAAGCACAAAGCTCGTT